TTTATTACCTTTATTTTTTTTTTCCAGTCAGCGTTTAAAAATATTTCCTAGAAAAGTAATTTGTATAATATTTTGATCTGTAAGGTTAAATGTAATATTGTAATCGACCAAGGAAAAAATATTAATTTGTTCCTTACATAATACATAGGATCTACTTATTTCCATATTGTTTTGCTATTTATCCACTAAATAAAATTGTCTGCGAATTGTTCACACGGACCAACTAGTAATTACTTATAATTGATTCTGAATATTTGATTTTATGTCTGTCTTTACTTCTAAGACTTTTTGCTTTCGAAATAATAATAATAACTTTTGTTCATCTCTATTCTTCGATCATGTATTCTGTAAATAACTTCTGTCTGATTTTATATAATCTACACTGTTACCGCTATATGAGCAGTACGAGTTTCAGAAAGTCCAACAAGGACGTTAAGAAGATCGTAAGAGGATTTCCAAGTAGAATCACAAAAAGTGGATCTCTGAGCCCCCAGACATATTCAATAAATGGAAGCACAATACGACCGAGGAAATATATGAAGAAATATGAATAAAGTTAAATAACAGTTTACCCTCCCAAACAATTTTTTTCTCTATTTTAATGACGTTCCAGGATCACTTTATCATCCCGTCTTCAGACCAGAAACAAGAAACACTTTTGTTATTTCTATTTATATATTATGATTATACATATTTTTATCATATATATTATTTCTAAAAGGTGTTTTTTAGTCGGTACGCCATAACTTCGTCAATTCCTCATCAAATCCAATGATTGGCCACTCATTTAGAAGTTATTCTTCTCCTTCACATGCGAAAAATAGTCCCATCCCTTCGAAATTTCTAGAAAAAAAGTTATGGAAGAAAAGAAACTTTATTTGCGAATCAAAAAGTACGCATTTTTCTTGATTGTACCCATGATAATTAGAAAGATTACTAAATTACCTACAAAACATAAAAAAAATCGGATAATTATTAACAAAGATGCAGTCCATTAGTTTTGGTATACTTAATAATGTTTCCCCGTTTAATGTTATTGCATTTAGGAGTAGAATCGTATACTATTTGTTTTTTTGGGGGGATTTTCTATGAACTTTATTTTTTCTTGAAAAACATTTGATTGTTCCTACATTTTATTTTTTTTAATAATTCAAAATATCCTATGATTGGGGCATTATTTTGTCTGTATTACTCTTATTATCTTTCCAGTCAGCGTTTAAAAATAGGTATTAACAAAGCAATTTGTACAAATATTTTGCTCTATTATGGTCAATAGAATATTGTAATTGACTAAGGAAAAAATATTAATTCCTTCCTTACTTAATACATAGGAACTACTTATTTCCATATTCTATAGCTAAACATATATATTCTATAGCAAAACTCACTAAAAAAAAATTACTAAACAAAATTTTCTGCGAATTTTTCGCACGGGCCAACTAATAACTTATAATATAAATAACAGATTAATCTTGCGATTTAAAAAAAAAAAAAAATCGAAAATACATTTGTAGTGGTGTATACTCTGCCAAAAATTGGTTTATACACACAGACTATTTTCTCGGACTTTTTGGTTGCCAAGTCGACTACAGATATATCCTCAGAAATACTGATCGTAATAGATTATATTAATTTTTTCTACTGAATAAAAGCCATTGTGTTTTCATTTAGATATTTCATATTTCTCAACCGCGATAAGCTCGATTTGGGTTAGGGAAAAAAAAAATCAAAATCATTTCATCCGTTAAATTGACTACTGGCTAAAAATGAACATTTGGAATCCGACGGCTCTGAAACGTGTAGATTTGTTGAAAACTTGACATCGAAAATTAGCCTTGTTTACTATAATTTATTTATCTTATAGCGGTAGAAATGTAAATAGTATAATAAATTAAAATTGTGATCTCGAATCCTTTTATTAGAAACAAGAATCACTTTGAAAAAGAACTTTTAATAACTTTTGAAAATGGCCTTCGAAATGAGTTGTGACTTATTCATCACATATTCGTAAAAGAAAACCTGCTTTTGTAAAAGTAGCTAAGAATATTTTATGTAGAAGCAAACTTAGAAAAATTATTCATTTGATGTGAGACGTTGAATATTACCTATTTCATGAATTGATTCGCGCATTGTTTATTTTATTGATTTAACTGAAAATTGTGTGTTGCTGGTATGATGTCCTCTTATCTGAATACAGTTTTTAGTAAAGATCACAAGAATACAAAACATTTATCGATTAATTTTATCAATGGAGAGATAATTTTATCTAGGGCCGAAGTAATTTTTTTTTTTGTTATTGATCAGAGTTCATAAAGCCATCCCACCATTGTTCCAACGCCCCTCTCCCTCCCTCCGTTTTATTTTTTTTATCTTTATTCAATAAATCTTTATTTATTTTTTTATCTTTTTTTATTCACAAATAAAAGAATTAACTTCGTCAGACTCGTGTTATATATATATATATATATATATATATATATATATATATATATATATATATATAAATATAACACGAGTCTGACGAAGTTAATTCTTTTATATATAGATAATCGTGGTCATAGAAATTGCATCTCCTATTTTTTTTTTTTTTTTTTATTCTAATATTGATAATGCTGTACCTTTTTTCGGAAAAAAAACTTCGTCCAACTTACACTAGACATTCAAGGCTTAAATTATTTGTGTATTTTCTCATTCTTAACCGAATGAAACAAAAAGTAAATCGATAGCGTTGCTCGTTTTTTTTTATTATGACTGTATTATGTTTTAAATTTTAAAAGATCTGAATAAAAATGAATCTAATGATTCAAGTCATGATTATTGGGCAAAATTTTTGGAGACTATAAATAAAGATTTAAGTAAAAAATGACTTGTAAATGTTTAGATATGCAGATTTATAATAATTACAAAATATGGGACTAAAGTTTCAAGCATACATATATATTTTAAATCGATATTCTCTGTTGAAGAAATGTCCTTATTTTAAAATTACTAATATTGTTGTGTTTTATGTTTCTACTAGGTTAACACCTGAAAATTGTTATTTAAAAAATTGCATTGGTTTTTGAAATCTATGGAGAATTGTGGTATTACATCTTGTGAAAAATTTCCAATGAACTCATTATGATATGCTCGAATAAGAGTAATGATGTTATTATATGTAATAGATCTCCTCTGATTCATATAAATGTGATGAAAATACTAACTTCTACTATTTGTAGTTACATAAAGTGTACTTTTGAGCAGTGAAGCTACGGTAAGTTCGGGTTTTCATAAAATCAAGGATGCTTCACGATTTATTTTGTAAGTCCCCTACTGGGCTAAAGATACCACATTTTCGAAAAAAACTTCCTTCTTTGATGAGCTTTGAATCAATATTAATCAAGTCGAGTTTAAATTTTTTCTAAGTTAAAATATTATTAGTACGGTAAAATTTGGAATCGAACCGAATATTTTTATATCTTTTTACTTATTTTTTTTTTTTATTGAAAATATTACAATCTGTCTCAAATTACATTTATAATATTGGTTTTACTTAATTAGGAATGAATCTGAACTTACTCTCTAACAAACCAAAACTTAATTAATATAGACTTAAACCTCATCGAACGAGGAAGTTTTTCTGAAACTGTGTGGTATCTTCTGTCCAGTTGGGGACTTACAAAATAAATCGCGAAGCATCCTTGATTTTATGAAAATCTACATCATACTTGTACTAGGATGTATACTGACTGCACATAAATAATGTTAACAAAGGCGAAAAGGTAGTTGAATGAATTACTCGGCTAACAACTTCTTAACCTTACATGAAATGTATACATAGAATAATCACTCGTACGTTTAAATAAGAGAACATCAGCAAGTAATTTTTTTCATAGAATTAATGTTTTGAAACCTACTATCGAATGGAATAAATCCCAGCGTGCAGCTAGTAGTTTATTTTGCGTTTATACTTCGAGTTTACATAGTTATAACGATGAGAACCAATGAACTGTAAGAGTGTACCAAATTTAATTTTTTAATATTTGTCTTTTCACAACTTCGCTCTTATTAAGACCTGAAAATATTTATTAAAAATATCTGTAAATATCGTTAATTTTTTGTGAAATCATTGAAAATTGCCTAATAATTTGTGTTTTTAAGGGCTAAATAGGAGCTGAAGAAAATAGTCATAGGTTTACGCTCTAGTGATGTTAAGGAAACATTATATAGTAAAAAATTATATTATTGTAATACTATCATTTTAAGGTTTTTTTCGCCTATGAACCACTGTGCGTCGATTCCATTGCATGTTTTTTTTTTTTTTTACTTATTTATTCGTTACAAGAAAACTTTAACAATGTTTCTCAGTTCCGTTTTAACTAATGCCAGAATGAAACCTATAATTATGAATTCCATCAAAAACTGTCAGAAAATATTAATATTGAGACGTTACATGAATTTAAGAAATTTTCAAAGGAAGTAGTAACGAAAATAACCAATCAATGGTAGTCATAGTTTTGCAAAAAAAAAAAAGTACATGAAGCAATAAAACACGAACAATTTGACAGCATAATGATGTGATTGTTTTTACAATAACGTTTCAAAACTGGCAAATAAATCTTTCGCTTACGAATGCACTATTGCATTTTAATATTGAATGAAATATATATTTTTTTTAATATTTTCTTATTCCTAAAAGTGTCTCTATTATTTTAATTTGTTAATTGTTATTATTTCTTCCATATCCGTTAACCCATCCATTGTTAATTATAATATTTTTTTATTGGGAATAATTCAGGAATGTTGCATTATATATGTGAAATATGTGAAAAATATTTATTACTACAGCTCTCTAAAATTTAGATGATTCTACAAAATAAAAATTCAATTAATCGTCACTTTCAGCATCGGATCAAATCAAAAGTAGAATGATAAAAAAAATAGACTTATAGTGGCCCTAGTCATAAAAATAATAAATGCTGAAATGACAAGAAGGCTAAGTAGTATCTATCTGGAGTTACCTTAGTTACCTGTGACCTGGCGGGTGTAGTAGTTCCAAAAGGGCAGCCTCCAAAACCGATCCCCAGTTTCCATTCCAGCGGCCTTCAGCTCCCTCCAGACATCGTCGGATGTCGTGAAGGCTGCTGTAGCACCCTGCCCGAGCCCTCTGTTCACTTGCTCTGGAGGAGGATTCACCACTTTAAAACTTTTTACTAATAATAATATTGGTTATTACAACACATTATTTCAAATTTTATTAAACGAGTGCATCCAATTTGCTGCGTTTTTTATGGTTTTCTAATACGGAGGCACATATGGGCGATGATGTCAACAGACTGGTGTTGCCCAAATGCGAGACCGAGACGAGTCTTGGTCTTGCAAACTCAGTCTTGGTTATGGTCTTGGTCTTACGCAAAAGTCTCCTCGCAACAGTCTTGCAGTTATTTATTAGTTTATTGCAAAGTTGCAAGACCAAGACCGATTTTGGGCAACACTAAAACAGACATAGTTAGAATTCGAAAAACATAAAATACCTTACACAAACCATAAATGCAATAGCCACGCAAAATTTAACTGGATAGAATAAAAATTAATAAAATTTGAATCCGATCGTAAAAGAAATATTCATAATTGGTAAATGGTTGACTGTCGTGGATAATGAAGAGAAGAATAGATGGGATGATCAGTCAAAAAAGAAGGCAAAAATAAATGATAATATTTATTTTTACATATGCCTACGTTTCGACCTGAAGTTCAGGCCTTCATCAGGGCTGTCTCCAAAAGTGCAGGGAGAATCCCAGTTGCAGGAAGAGTTAGTCTGTGGGCCAGACCCCCTTACCGTGCACCCCCCCCCACATCCCTATAAATTGCATATCGTTGTGTTCCTTGTGACAATTTATTAAAAAAAAGCCAATGTTCCCACAAAAAAAAGTGAACGAACTGCCCCAAAATGGCGTCCAAACATGGCGGATTGACGACTTTGACTTTAGTTAGTTTTTTTGTTACTGAGAATCAGCATTTGGCTTAATTTCATCATAGTTGGTCTTTTATTAAAGCTAGATAGTCAGAGAATAATAAAACATGAAAAAATATTAAAAAATAATTGGCTTAGGCATTAAAAAAAATCGGTAAAGTCAATTTTTTTTACAAAAAAAATTTCAAGTTGAAAATCAAGCGTCGTTTGTAATTAAACGGTCAACAATAATGCAAAACGTGCTGAAATAAAACATCTGGAGAATACATTTCTCTTTCTAAAACACTGATTACGTTTTAAAATATTTGAAGTAGTTCCGTATAAAATGTACTTAAGCGGCAGAAAAGCGCTACTGGCGTGGGTGCCTACAGGCCTCTACCACACCACTCAGTACTCATAAATGGCTTAGTTATAGTGCTGTAATAACGTTTTTGTTATATTTTATTGATTATATTAACGAACAAATATTAATACAATAATTTAATTGTAAAAAGTTATTTTTTTTTTAATTTATTATTTTTGTTTTTATTTTTCATTATTATTTTTTTTTTTAATTTAACTTCATTTATTCTATACGGAGATCGCTTAAGAAGGCCTCTATTATAAAAATTATAAAATTATAATAATAAAACTTAATTCAAAAATACTTTGCAGAATATCTTGATTTTTTTATTTAATATTTGCAATTTAACATTTTGTTTTATATATTTACTGATTCTTAGAGGTAATTTAAATTGTATATACTTCCCTGGAAATGAGTCATATTAATATCTGTTTTATAAACTAAAGTAATATATACCTAATCTGAACTACTTTTAATGAATAGGTGATGGATTGTTTAGTAAAATTCATATATCGCTATTAAAAAGAACATTTTTATTTCCTTTATTTTATTCGGAAGTTGGACCATATCATAAAAAATAGGAACTTTAATATTTAGCTTCTACGATTCTTGAGTAGACTTACTTTGGTACTATAAACAATAAGGAATCTCGAATAACATTTCCTAGTATCTCATTTCCTGTAAAGGGACAAAACTACAGTCGTTTCATATCATTTTCTAAGCAGGTTTATTATGGTGAAGACCATTTCATCAGCAAGAAAGATTTGTTCTAAACAATTGGCAAGCAGGTCTGGAGGAAGTAACCCGAAATGATGTGCTTATATGTGAAACAATGATGATATGAAACGACTGTAGTTTTGTCCCTTTACAGGAAATGAGATACTAGGAAATGTTATTCGAGATTCCTTATTGTTTATAGTACCAAAGAAAGTCTACTCAAGAATCGTAGAAGCTAAAATTAGAAATATTGTCGAATGCCTGAGCGATATGGATTGAGAAACTCAAGTTGCACATTTGAACATAAGTTGCAAATTGGGACTGTCTTCACTTTAAGGTAGGTTATAGAGAAGTCCACAGAGAAAGAAAAATGGTTCTATATCTGCTTAGTGCCTCACACTTTGGATTGATCGAATATCAACTAGTCTTTCACAAAAGCTCGTTTTCCTTTCAGATTCATTCAAAAAACTTTTGCAATTGCACTAAAGAGGAGCAGAGCTATTTCCTTTTATCAATAGACCTCTGTATAACCTGCTTCAAAGTGGAGATAGTCCCAATGTACAACTTCAATAGCAATCTAAAATAAAGTGGTTTACACCATTATCAACCTCGTTTACTTCCTCCAGACCTGCTTGCCAATTGCTTAGAACAAATCTTTCTTGCTGATGAAATGGTCTTCACCATAATAAACCTGCTTAATATCATCCAAACTTATCAAGCATTTTTACCTCCATTTAGCAGAATCTTGAAATATTCTGTTCATTTGTCTACTATATATTCGTTTAGCCATATAATGGATACTGATCCTTGTTTTCTTTTCCGAAATTTTGGCACTGTCGTTCGCTTAATGTATTTTTCCAATGTTTGGGTTCAATTTCGCGTTTTCCCTCATTTTGAGATCAAATACTAACAATCAGTTCCAGTTACATAGAAGAACTTATAGCTTCGCCCTTTCCATATTTCATTTGTGCAGAGGGAATAATGCACTTTAATATTAAAAGTTCCTATTTTTTATGATATGGTCCAACTTCCGAATAAAATAAAGGAAATAAAAATGTTTTTTTTAATAGCGATATATGAATTTTACTAAACAATCCATCACCTATTCATTAAAAGTAGTTCAGATTAGGTATATATTACTTTAGTTTATAAAACAGATATTAATATGACTCATTTCCAGGGAAGTATATACAATTTAAATTACCTCTAAGAATCAGTAAATATATAAAACAAAATGTTAAATTGCAAATATTAAATAAAAAAATCAAGATATTCTGCAAAGTATTTTTGAATTAAGTTTTATTATTATAATTTTATAATTTTTATAATAGAGGCCTTCTTAAGCGATCTCCGTATAGAATAAATGAAGTTAAATTAAAAAAAAAAATAATGAAAAATAAAAACAAAAATAATAAATTAAAAAAAAAATAATTTTTTACAATTAAATTATTGTATTAATATTTGTTCGTTAATATAATCAATAAAATATAACAAAAACGTTATTATAGCACTATAACTAAGCCATTTATGAGTACTGAGTGGTGTGGTAGAGGCCTGTAGGCACCCACGCCAGTAGCGCTTTTCTGCCGCTTAAGTACATTTTATACGGAACTACTTCAAATATTTTAAAAAGTAATCAGTGTTTTAGAAAGAGAAATGTATTCTCCAGATGTTTTATTTCAGCACGTTTTGCATTATTGTTGACCGTTTAATTACAAACGACGCTTGATTTTCTACTTGAAATTTTTTTTGTAAAAAAAAATTGACTTTACCGATTTTTTCTAATGCCTAAGCCAATTAGTTTTTAATATTTTTTCATGTTTTATTATTCTCTGACTATCCAGCTTTAATAAAAGACCAACTATAATGAAATTAAGCCATATGCTGATTCTCAGTAACAAAAAAACTAACTAAAGTCAAAGTCGTCAATCCGCCATGTTTGGACGCCATTTTGGGGCAGTTCGTTCACTTTTTTTGTGGGAACATTGGCTTTTTTTTAATAAATTGTCACAAGGAACACAACGATATGCAATTTATAGGGATGTGGGGGGGGGGTGCACGGTAAGGGGGTCTGGCCCACCGTGTAAGTCATTCTCCCTGCAACACTTTTGGAGACAGCCCTGATGAAGGCCTGAACTTCAGGTCGAAACGTCGGCATATGTAAAAATAAATATTATCATTTATTTTAGCCTTATTTTTTGACTGATCACCCCAACTATTCTTCTCTTCATAAAAGAAATAATTTTCGAAGAGCAGGCCTCTTTTGGTCCATATATTTCTATCCTAAATAAACCCATTAAATTAATGCCAATATGTGTGGGAAATAATAATGAAGTAGAGTAAGAAAGTTTTTCTTGTTGTCTGAAAAGTGAATATTTTTTAAATATATTTTAATGAAACATTCACTTCTTTACAAGTCACACAACGTAAGAAACAAAAGCTTGCATAACGACTTACGACAACCAACACATGCTTACTATTACTCACGATTTTATGTTAAACAATAAGGACACAACAACATACTTATAACCGACTTGGCCACCTTTGACATGCCCATTAGGAAGAGACTGAAGTGATGCTGGATGAGAGATCTCCTTTTCTGATTAAAGTAAGTTAACAAAGATCAGGAAGACGTGCCGTTGGGTACTAACCCTTCACGCCATTATTATCTCAAATGCATTCAAATCTGCTGATTGTCACTCTCATGATAGGTGTATAGATTAAGGTATAAATAGAAAAAAAAATGATATGTTTATGTATTTTTTTCTGTTGGCTATTAAGATCTTTCGCCGCCTTAATTAGGCTTCTCTATCTCTGTTTTGGGCTATCGCTTCCCAGTTTGCTGCATGCAGGAGTTGATTCTGTCTCTCAATCTGATCTTTAGACTTCCACGTGGTCTCTTGCCTTGTAGAGACTTCTTCATGCACTGATCCAAATTATCTTGCCCATTTCAACCATTATATCATGAGATATTGATTGACCGATTTCTGTAAGTAGTTCTTTATTTGTTCTCCATGCATTAGAACGGTGGTCCTAGACCACTTTGGTAATCGTGCGGATGATTGTTCTCTGGAATCCGTCAATAATTCTTTCTAGACCCAATAGATAGTGTGAAATTGCTTTTTCATAATTCGCTTACATTTTAGATATTTCGGAATTCTAAAAAAAAAAAACCTTTTAAAGAGATGATAAAGCTGGCCTGTTTCTAACCGTTGCTCATTCATTGAGATTATGGACTCGAGGTATTTGAATTTGTTTAGTCTCGGGAACGATTTCCTTTTACACAGAGACCGTTGAAATTGAATTTACATTTACATTCGGTTTATTTATGTTATTCACATAAATATTATTCCAAAATATTTACTTTCTGAACAAAAAAGGACCTATTTACTCAATTGTCCTTCTCACTCGTATAATAACTAAATAACTGATTTATTACCATAACCAACATGTTATATTTTTGCGAGCTAAGGAATCTTAACTATTCTGTCTTTAGGGTCATCAATGCATTTATAATTTTAGATCACGAAGTCATCACGTAGGAATAGTAATTGAATTCGAGGCGTGAAGGAGTGGGTCGTGATTGATAGAGTACTTAACTTGTTAATAGACAGACTAAATCCTTTTAACTCCCAACCATCTTCTAACCCCTCCTATTAAAGCGGGTCATATAAATAAACATGGAGCTTTATGACAGATTTAGCTTAGTCATTGAACAGCTTCTATATTATACTCTTCTTAATGACTGTTATATGACCGACTGGGCCTCTGATCGATTATTTAACTCATTAAATAGCAATTAAGTAATTTTAATCGTTCGACTTAATTTTCGTTCTTTCGAACAGATCAACAGAATCTCAGTGAAACTGTAATGTTTACGGAATTTGGTTTATGTAAAATTTAGTGATCAGGTGATGCCACATATGATTTATCAAATTATTTTTTTGTGATCTTCAAGATAGCACCGCTGTATAAATCATGTGTATTCATTAAAATTTTAATTATAACAGTATATAATGAAATGATAACACTATTACTTTATACATTGTCAACGCAGTTTGAAAAATATACGATAGATATTACTTAGATGTTTGTAGGGATTATGGTCGTAGCCCAGGCAAATTAGCACAAGTAGGAGGTCTACCATACAAAAGGTCGGTTAATTCAAATTTAATTTTTATATTGTTAGGTATGAAGTGACCATAAAAAATCCAAGTTTCCGCACTTGAAACTATTGTGGGTTCCCTGCAGTGTTCCAAAAACAATTGAAATTTCCAACTTTTTGTGGTTTACATTTTTTTTTTTTTTTTTTTTTTTTAAGAAAGCATTTTGCCTCAATTAAGGACAATGAGTATTTAGGATGAATGGAACACAAAAATATCATATATACAATAAAAGAACAACAAGATTATAAAAAAATAAAACTTGGAGTAAAAGAATAAATCAAACATGATACAACATTAAATAAAAAAAAATAAATAGATAAAAACACATTCATACTTATTTACAGTCAGCCGAGGGAGCTCCGAGCCGAGCCTTTTCCCCCACGTATGGAGGATAAGGCAAGACTCTAAGAGATCCCAGCGCTTCTCTCTCAGCCCCATCACTAGGATGGGAATCCAGTGGAGACTAAGAGAGAGAGCACTAAGCCACATGCGCTTGAACCTTCGAGGAGGATTGTAGGGATGAGTGGAACTGGATAAGGATTGTGCTAAGGGATTGGAATGATGGATTAGGTTCTGATGAAAATTTGAAAATCAGGATGAAATAACGTCAAGGACATAAGGGATATTAAGGTCATGATGTAAGGTTTTGTTCGTAACATAATAAGGAGTATTGACTATTAAACGGAGGACTTTAGACTGGAAGGGTTGGATGCGTTCGATTTAGTTGTTCCCCACAGTTCAAGTCCGTAGGCCCAGAAGGGTTTCGGTATGGTCTTGTAATAGTTTGTTTTCAATTGAGAAGTTAGATTTTCTGTTAAGTAGTCTGTATAACTGGCCAAGTCGTCGGTTAAGTTCTTGTCTTTTAAGTCTGGTATGTGGGTTCCATGTTAGTCTTTTGGTTTACACTAAATGTCTCCTTTTAAAAGCTACATAGATAAAAAATGGTTTTATTAAATCATAAACAGCTTAGAATTATCTAACATTTTCGTACATAACATTTTTTTATAAACCCAATAGGAAACGAAATATCAAAATATACTTAAAGCGAACTGTACTTTCAAAATGGGTAATTAAAAAGAAAAAAATCGACAATTAAATTATTGTATTAATATTTGTTCAATAATACAATTAAATATTAATACAACCATTATAGTACTATAACTATGCCATTTATGAGTACATAATAATGTTGCAGAGGACTCTAGACTCCTATGTCCATGTTACTTATCCGCCGATTAAGTGTATTTTCTAAGTAACTGCTTCACATATTTTAAAAAGTAACCAGTGTTTTTAGAAAGAGAAATGTATTCTCCATTTTTTTTTATTTTTTAGGTGTTTTTCGTTATTGGCCGTTTAATTAAAAACGACGCTCGATTTCCAACTTTAGTTTGAACGACTTAAAAAACTTGACTTTACTGGTGTTTTTTTATTGCCAAGGCCTGTTGTTTTTTAATATGTTTTCATGTTTTATTATTCTCTAACTACTCAAATTAATTAAGCCAAATGCCGAATCTTAGTGTCTGAAAAACTAACTCAAGTCAAAGACTCCAATCCCCTATGATTGAACGCCATTTTGCGACAGTGCGAACACTTTACAATATTGGCTTTTTACGACATTGGCTTTTTATTAATAAATAGTTACAAGGGACAGAACTACATGCAATTTATTGGATTTGGAGGGAGGGTGGAAAATGGGAGGTCTGGCCCACCGTGTAACATACGTTTTTAAACACTTACCGACTACCGTCTAACGTTCCAATCAATGACTCATTATCTTAAAGGAAAATACACTCCGAATTCTCTGACATAGGTTCAAAATAGGTTAACAGAAATCTTCTGTTCATAACTGAAAGAGCACTATTTTGAAGAAATTAAAATAGTTCAATTTTGAAACCTCGATAGTTCGCTTTTTGTTGGGCTTAGAAAAAAATGTTGAATAATCTTAAGCTTGAATATATTTTTTATTTATTTGGCTCTAAAAAATTTGAAAACTTCGATGGGGTTTGGAGCACTGCAGCGAATCCACAAGGCTTTCAAGGATGGAAACTTAGATTTTTTATACTCAATGCATACCTAACTATATATAACAGAAATTTCAATTACCCGACCTTTTGAGAGGTATCATGTTTAATTTGACTGGGCTATGGAGTCTTAAGCTAATTCTTTGGTCTCTGGCGTGGCCGCCATCTCGAGATCTCTTCTTGACTGCTTCCTCTGTTTACCTAGTAATAGCTCCTATGCTAGGGATTTCTTCCAAGCATCTCCAATTTTCTTCACCAATAGTCAGTCATAGCCAAGGAAGATTCCACAATAGACTCTCTTGTTCCCATTCAGAAATATTTTCATTTAAATTTTGTTTTTTAAAGGTGAGTTTTTCTCTTGCTTGAATATTTTTTGTAGAGCGGTATTCTTCCTTCTACTTTTTGGTAGACGTTTAAGTTATCCTGTTAGAATTTTTAATGTGTCGACTTTATTTTGGCCCTTCAAACAAATCAGATTTTATCTTTATTATCTCCTAAGCGGATTGCTGACTGAAAACTATATCTGAGGGATGAGACCCAGAAGTTTAAGGCAGGCACCAACACTTATTCCAAGCTTAACTGTGTTCTTCTGTATTGGTACTGTTGAAATTCATCCTTACAAGACCGATTTTACTTATTTTTTATTTTTCAGATATATTTAAATTCACACTCTAGCGTCCTTGATACATAGCAAGGTCCCTTATTACTGACAATAACGCTTATAGGGGAGGTTTACCACGTAATTAGTTGATTTTATACAGTATATAGAGGATTTTGAGGAAAAACGTTGATATGGACAATCACTTACTCTACTCTAGGTACTACTCTCTCTACGTACTCTACCTGTTAGGGAGGCCACCGTCACGATGAGGCAGGGCTGGTTGACTTGGGAATAGAAGAGCGGGTCCACGAGGAGGACCCTCCCCTCGTTGCCAGTGTTGGTGAGGCGGACCGTCTTCTTGTTGAGGGCCACGAGGACGTCCCCAGGCCTTGTGGTCGAACCTCCCATCATGTTCTCCATCAGCGGGATAAAGGCTGTCGAGTGAGAAATCGCTAGTAGTAATCGAATCATAATTTGCAAACATTGATAGATAAGTACATTATCAAGTGAGCTTGTTCAGTATTGCCTTGTGAGTACTTGAATTATAACTATACAGACTCCTTTTTATCAAATTGTTAACATCCGGCTGAAACTTCGTAAATAGCTTCATCTCATCGTAACCTACAAATATTTTATTAACGAAAATTCTAGGAATTGGGGCGTTTTCAATCTGGAGATCGGAAAACTTTGTCTATTTATTTAGTTACTAAAAATTCGTAAATACACATTTGCTTTTCACTTTGATCGTAAGATAATTTAATCACAATATCGATAATAAGGGTGATCTAAAAAAATATTCGCTCAAACTCCACTGGCTTTAGCATCAGTGACGCGGTTGAGAGAGTAGCGCAGGGATCTCCTAGAGTCCTGCTTTTCCTTCTATAGTTGGAGGGAGAAGCCTGGTTTTGGGTTCCCTGCCTGATTGTATATATTGGATATTGGTATGACTGTGTTTTTATGTTTTTAATTTACTTATCGGTTGTTTATTTTATTTTTTTATTGTACATAGTTCTTTTTTATTATTATTTAGTTATTATTTTACTTTTGTTAATTTTGTATGTGTTCATTTATCACTATAATTATTATCCACGAGAAAGAATATTATGTAAAAAAAAAGAAAAAAAAAGCAAAAACAAAAAAATATTAGGCCGTTTGACAGTTATAATCTCGTTATTTTGACAATCTGGGGGTGTAGGTCAGTGGGTTCAATATTTTCGAAGGCCACCTTTCTTTCTCGACTTTGGTCTCATTTTATTACAATTCTGCTCAAATTATATTGCGATTCAAGTGGGAAGCAAATGGATATTTACATGTTTTCAGTATCTAATTAAGTAGAAAAAGTTTGTCGATCTCCAGATTGAAAACGTCCCATTTCCGAGAATTTTGTAAATAGAATATTTTTAGGTTACGATGAGATGAAGCTATTTACGAAGTTTCAGCCGGATGTTAACAATTTAATAAAAAGGGCTCTGTACCACGTACTAATTCTAATAAAACGTTTATGGTAATGTTGAAACATTAAAAAACAAAGACTTAGTTCTATTAAATAGCAGTAAATAACTAATTATAAAATTTCCTCCTATTTAGGCACTAGAAAGATAGATATGATAAGATAATGATATAAAAGTCGTTCGGCGATGACACACCTCATATCAACAGCTTACGAGTGTCTAACCAAAAACTGATGTTAGAGTTGAGGTAAAACGTTGTGGTAGTGAAACGGAGTGCTTAGTTATATATTAATAACACCCTCACATAAATTTTCGTCTCATTCATTTAAGTTTCTTGATAGCTTTAATTAATATTTGCTATAACTTAGTTGTAGTTTAATGAAGCTGATATTTTTTACTTCAATAATATGGGTTCTCAAATCAAACATAGCTACCATTCATTACTAAGCAACGCATGGTAATTTTGATAGTTTTTAGTCGAACATTTACCAATAGATGAAGCATTCATTTATTTAAAGATGATACTTCTGCTCAAGTCAGCGAAATGTGTTGCACTGAATTTACGAAGGTTTGTTTGAAAACAAAGTATGGAGGCGGATAAACAATCAGCAGCTGTTTGACTTATATCATGAGCCGGATATCAACTATCTTATCAGTCTTGGTAGCCTCAGGTAAGCAGAACGTCTAAGCAGAATGCCTGACGGTCGATCTCGAAAGAGAATTCTGAACGATCCAAGGGGAAAGGAGGGCAAAACTGAGGCGAGTACACTGTGTAGTACTTGACGAAAGAAAATATTTGAACTTGTGAAACTATTAAACTATGGATAGGGATACGAGATCGATGTCGGTTGCTGTTGTAGGAAACCAGGACCCTTTATGGATTACTGTGCTATTTCATAAGAAGGCAGTTGACACTAGACGCCCCACGGCTTAAAATGGCGTGTAAATATTGTTGGAAGAAATCAATCATACCTTATGAGCAGTCTTAAACTGTTTACGGAGATATTTTCGAAGTATTCTCAATATCTTAAAAATGTAATAAATATATATTTCCTTTGGTAATAACTGAAATATAGTACTCACTCAAAAGTATTTATTTAGAGACAGATGTAAATGAAAGAAACAAGGAAACGAATAATTACAATTCTAAGACAAGTGTTTCTGAATCGAGGAGCACTTAAGAAAATTTAACGAAGGTAGACTTCATGGCGTCGGAGAGGAGCTGGGCTCTCGAGCGATGACTATATTTGCATATCTAGGTTGTTTGCAGTCTTGTAGCCAGAACCCTGAGGAATACGAACATGATGTCTGCGGGAAACAGTGTGTGATTAAGGGTATCATTTGGTTTTAGTACCTCCTGTTATTGTTATGATGGAGGATGGAGATACACTATAAAGCTAATAGTTAGCAATGTCTGCAATAACGTGCATAAACGGAGTGAAATGTTTCTCTAGCCGTTTCCTTGTAGCCAAGTTATCTAAGACGAAAGACTAATTTATTCGTCTCATTAAAATTTCCATCCTTTACTCTAGACCTCACGTCGAAAACCGTAAACGTTATTCATTGTCCATATGAAAATTAAAATAATAGTATAATATATATATATATATATATATATATATATATATATATATATATATATATATATATATATATATATATATATATATATATATATATATTATATATATATATATATATATATATATATATATATATATATAGTTATATACTAAGTTTATAGTTTATAGTTAGTTTATAGTTATATACTAAATAACACTGCAATGCATATAATATGCTTTTGCATGGTGTATGCACACTTAAATATACGCCTCTTCTGTAGGGTTACTACAGCAGAGAAAAAAAAAAAAAAAAAAAAAAAAAAAAAAAATATATATATATATATATATATATATATATATATATATATATATATATATATATATATATATATATATATATATATATATATATAATCCAGACGAATGGTGCCCGAATTCGACCTCTCGTTTATAAAAAGAGTTACAAATCCGAATTTAATTCCAAACTGTCCGTGGTTTCCAGACCCTCTGAACAGACCCCTTTTGGTTTCCACTTGAAACGTAAGATAATATGATTACAAAATCGAGAAAAAGGGTGGCCTACAAAAATATTTTTAGTTATATTGAAATGTTGGTAGTATAGGTTAATTATCATACGATTCAAGTGGAAAGCTAAATGTTTATTTACAATTTTTTATTGTCTAATTAAATAGACAAAGTTTGCCACTCTTCGTATTGAAAACGCTCCCATTCCAAGCATTTTCGTAAATAAAATTGTTGTAGGTTACGAAGAGATGATAGAATTACAAAGTTGGATGTTAATAATTTGATAAAAACGGCTCTGTACCACGAACTAAAAACATATATAGGAAGGAGATGGTCCGGGGTGGCGGTTATAAATAGACTAAATAGTGGCAAAACTATTTTATTAAAAGCCAACGTTTCGACCCGACTTTGCAAGTCTTCTTCAGGGAGGTGTGTTCAGCTAGGAGTTTCGCTTAGAACTTCACTTAGAACTGATAGTTATGTAGTTCACTTAGAACTGATAGTTATGTAGTTCACTTACAACTGATAATTATATAGTTCACTTAGAACTGACAGTTCTAAGCGAAACTTCTAGCTGCACACACCTCTCTGAAGAAGACCTCCAAAGTCGGGTCGAAACGTTGGCTTTTAATAGAATATTTTTGTCATTATTTAGTCTATTGATTACCGATAGCCTGGACTATCTCCTTCCTTTATAATACAACCTTCAACTATTAAATATTCAATAAAAACGTATATATTTAAATAAATAATTTATGTCACACAAAAATCAGCCCAGTGAAAAACAACAAAGACTTGGTATATCTTCACATGCTGATAAGTGTTAATCTCAGTTAACTTTGCATATTTATATTCAGTATAATTTCTATCTGTATTTATTTCGGTTTTAAAATTCAATAATTCGTTTCAAATTTCATTTTTTCCTCAAATAATTTTGTATTTTAAATATGTTTTACAACCATTCAGAAATATTACTTTCCTTTAGATCCATCAGATCGTTTTTAAACTCCTAAATGAAATATAAATTGTTGTCATTCCCAGCTGAATTTATTCTATTGATAGCATTAGTGCTGAGTTTAGGAACTTGCCACAAATTACAGATACCGACCACTTTACCAATATATTTATTATACACAAACGTTTTACAATATTAAATGAATTTATTTAATTTGAGTGAATTTACGTCCTAAGAATACATGAAAATATATTCTTGAAACCGAACTTGTCTTAATCACATAAGCTAATTCATAGTCATCTAAAAAATATTAATGCTATATTTTTTACTATACTAGCCATTAGAATTATAATTGTAAATAGAAGAATAAGACAATATATAAATTAATAAAAAACGTCAATACCTCGTATGTTGATCGGCAAGGCTAACTGAGCCACGCTCTTTATTGCAGCACAAATAACAGCAGCACCTGACATATCGCCTCGGTACTTCGACATACCTGAAAATTGTTATAAAATGTGATTAGGATAGTAATATAGTAAAATAAGATATAGCTATTTTTTGTTATGATCAATTTAAAGATATTTTTTTGAAGTTGTGTTATATAATTACAAAATTAATAATGTAATACCTTTGACTTGTTTGAGGCATACTGCTCCAGTGTCAAATGTGACTCCCTTACCTGTTGGAAATTAAAAGAATTATGTGATGATATATATAGACATATAGATAGAAAAAAAAACTTTATTCTGGGACTAAGTTCCTTCAGAATAACAATAATGTACAAAATAATAGAATATTACTGGCCTAAACGTTTGAAACAATAAATAAAATTTATAAAATAAAATAAAAAGTAAAGAAAACCATAGATGCACAAGCTATATACAATACAGATAAGACTATGTACATAGCATTTAAAATTATGAACAAATCAATTAAAACTATGAACGAATCACTTGAACTATGAACAAAATTATATATAAGGGTTGAACAACATAAACATACCCTTTGAGAAACGAAGAACGAAAAAGAGATACAATGAGTTCATTTCATAAAATAAAAAAAACTAAAAAAAAACTTTACTTGAATATATATATAAAAATAAACAGTTAATTATATTTGAATAAAAAAAAATGTATGTATTGAAATTCCTATGTCGATAGTAGGAAATGCATGTGCTATCTCTTACCGAGTATTATGATTATATGATTGTTACTCAATACATATATAATATTAATAGTTAGCTGGTATCTGACTGTTTTTGGAACATGAATTGGAATAGGAGGTTTTTGAATGTGCATAGGGAAGGGGCATGTCGAATTTTGATCGGGAGGGAATTCCAAAAGTTGACAGAGCGGGCTATAAAGCAATTTTGGAATGAGGCAGATCTATGAGAAGGGATGTACAGGTCAGAGGATCGGGATCTTGTAGTGAGGGAATGGATTGAGGACTTAAATTGGAGAAGGTTGTAGGCATAAGAAGGACAATGATCGGTAATGATTTGATGAAGTGGGGAAAGAGAGGAAATTAGAAGTCTACGGGTATCTTGGGGTAGAAGATGGCGGAAGTGATGGAATAGTTTGAGGGTAGAAATTGCATGGCGAGACAAATTGTAATATATATATATATATATATATATATATATATATATATATACACAATTTGTCATTTTTAACTTTAAAGAGAACTTTTCAGCGGCTAAACATGGCTCAGTTCTGTTTATAAAAAAAAAAAACATATATTATTTGTGATTTTTTTTTAATCATTTTCCTACTATGCTACAGATACCTGACTTTTAGAAAAAATTCTTCGTTTAATAATCGACAGTTTGTATTAATTAAACTGCGGTTTATTACGCAAATACTTTAGATTCACCTGAAATTGTGTAAAGCAATTATGTCAATTTCTATCAAGTCACGTAATAGTGCTCGTGTTTCAGCAAAAATGATAACAATTATTGTGTTTTCATGATGTGGGATTTATTTTAATAAATATTATTATCCAAACACCCTTTTTATTTATGAAAAAAATAATAATAATGATTTTTTAAAATATTTTTCAGTTAAAGTATTTATGAAAACTGTATTTTTCTCCCAGATCTGTATCATAGGAATTGATCCGTATTTCTAAGTGACAAAATTAATGTTTCTAGTCCTTAAATTTAGGTTTGAAATTAAAAAAAATCCTACTGAATGCTTCAATTATTTTCATGAAAACGTAAATCTTAGGAATAGAAACATGAAATTTGTCACTTATAAATGCGGATCAACTCCTTTGATCAAAGAGAAAAATACAGTATCGTAAACATTTTACATGAAAAGTATTTAACAAATCATTATTATATATCTTTTTTATTTTTAATTATTTTTTTAATTTATGATATTTACAACTGTATTACAAAAAAAAAAAATTAATAAAAAATACATTCAGTAAATGTGAAGATAAGAATATAGTAACATGAAACCACTTGTTGAGAAACTACCCACTGATAACAAGCTGAACATGTATTTACAAAAGGAGATCTCGAGATCATCTTCTTTTCAGACGGTCGAAATGTCATATATGTGAGTCTTTTGTAATTAACTGGAAGCTTAGAGCGTTGTCTCTAGTGTTGGAGTAGTCGGAAAAGTCGAGCGGTTTCTTATCATTTCAGTTTGGTAGGAGGATTCCAAGTTTGACGTTTATGGAATCCAAGGTATTGGATTTGTTCAACAGGATATATATAAATAAAAAGTGTATTTAAGAAATTATTAATAGAAAAACAAGAAATAAAAGTTTTGAAACAATTAATTGTATTCAATGTTGTTGGAAACACAGGTCCTTTTTTAGGTGAAAAGATGAAATATCACATTTTTTTAACACAACTTGAAGCGAATCTATAGAATTTGTCTTATAAACTTCAATTTAATTAATATAAACTTGAAGCATATGAAACAACGAAGTTTTCCTTAAAGTGGGATATCTGTTGTATAGTTAGATAATGATAAATAAAATCGTCAAAAATTTATGATTTTATTTAAAATAGAGCTTGGCCAAGTTCATCTGCTCAAAAGTCCTCTTTAAATAGTTTCAACAATGACATTGTATTTTATAAAAAAGGAAATTGTATATAGTTAACAGTTAAACAATTGTTAATTACCAAAAATAAATGTTCCTTCAGTTATAATAATCATGAATGAACATTGGTAATTCCCATGAGCTCTTGATGCCATGGGACGAGCAGTAATTGAAACAAATAATATATCTCAGTTTCTTCTCTAAGGTAAAGAAAGAAAAATAATACAAAATAAATTACTTACCGATAAGGGAGATTGGTTTGTCACTTGGATTCGCTCCGCAGTAGTTCACTTCGAGCAGGAGCGGTTCCTCGCAAGATCCGCTAGCGAGATTGAGAAGAGCGAACATGTTCTTCGATTCGATCCATACTCTGTCGTGGACTTCGACTTGAATTCCACAAGGGCACAGCCTTTCGATACAGGCCTGTAGGGAGTAAAAGATAATTTTCCACATGAATGCACAAAAGCCATGGTATTAAAATAAATTAATAGATATTTAATTAATAAAAATAACGTTAATTTTGGGTAATTAAACTAGAATCAATTAGACAGTACTAGTATTTATGGTGATAAAAAGATCAGTGTCCACTTCGCTAAATTTTGGCTTCTATCTCTCGAGAATACAAATTCTTGGATATTTTTTTTAAATTGAGTTAAAACTATTTCATTGAGTAATGTAAAATTCTGTTACAATAAGTACTATAGATGCAATGAGCAAAGAGTTAATTCACAACCATAACATTTGAAATAGATCCTGATATATTTTCTGATATATATCATGATGAAAGAAATGATTTCAACATACCCCTGTATAAACATGTATTTGCCACTTCCAATTCGTAGTTATATTCGTAGTAACATTCTAAATTTTAAAAGTTTTATTCTTTATATACGAATTTATTTAAAAATGAATTATTATATGACCAAAATTATTTTCTTTGCATCATTGAAATGAATTAAGATTTCTGGGTCTTGTTTAGTTTAGGCCCGCCAGTTATTTTATCTAGTAACCGTTACTTATTGATATTAAGGGTATTGAGTATTTGGGAAGTATGAAACACAATAAATACCATCAAACAATCATACTATATATACAATAAAAGAAAAACAAAATTATAAAAAAACGACAAGAAACTTAGAATATTTAATTAGCAACTCGTATATAACCATTTTCTTTGCGCTTGAATTGTAAAATAATGCAAAAAAAAAAAAACCTGTACTACTATAACTCATGAAGGGTCTTGGGTTCAGTACAATGTGAGGAAGCACTGTTATAAGGGAGGTGATGAGTTCGATATCACGCTCAACCGCCAGGTTTTTCCCTTTAATTATTTTATAATTATGAGTACCCATTTTATAGAGGCTGGGTGAGCCCCAGGAGGGTCTCCCGATCCCAGAGTCGTCCACGGCTAATGAAAAATTACTAGTCATTAGCCGGGATTCGAACTTAGGATCTTGAGCCCTGGAAGTCAGTGATCATCCACTGAGCTACCCCGCTCCCTTCTGAGATAATATAATCTCAAAATAAAAAATAAAGATGCGGCATAAAAAAAATATTGGGCCGTTTAGTCTTTATAACCTCGTCATTTTGGGGGGTGGAGGTCACGCCAAATGGAACAACATTTTTGTAAGTCACTATTTTTTTTTTTTTTTTTTTTACTATTTGATCATTAGGTGTGAATGTGATTTATTTACTTTAATTTCATCTAGCTTTTATCTATTATTTCATTATTTTTTTTGTACACAAGCATAACAATTTACTTATTTTATTTTTTTATATTTCTTTTTCTTTATTATTTATATTAATTGTATGTACTTATTGTGTGAATGAATCATGTCGCTTTAATATTAATGCCCTTTAATGTGGCAGAATGTATTAGTATTCAATAAAGAAAGATAAAAAAAAAAAAAAAAAAAAATTGATCATATTATCTTAAGGGTCAAGTGGAAAGCAAATATATATTCATGAGTCTCTAGTACCTAATTAAATAGACAAAGTGATCTCCAGTTGAAAACATCCGAATTCCGAGAAGTTTCGTAAATAAAATATTTGTAGATTACGGTGAGATGAAGCTATTTACGAAGTTTTAGGTGGATCTTAATAATTTAATAAAAAAGGGGTTTGTACCACGGACTATATCCTATTTTTTGCAGATAATCTCAACAGAACATTTACAATTACCCCTTAGATAGGCGGACCATTATCTCTTCATAAACATCTTTCACATTTTAATAGAATGTTATATTACTCAATAAAATATTTGAAAAATAATAATAAGCATAACTTTCCTTGTAGAAATTATGTATTTAAAACGCATCTACCATTTTTTTTTCTTTTAGCTCCATAAAATTTATTAGATTACACACAAACACCATCAGACTTGCTGTTGCAAAGTAGAGCAAATACCCTATCTTAATAAACAGTAATGACCAGGGGACACGCGATGGCCGGATAAGTACTCCTCAGAGGACTAATAGAGATGACAGAGTTAGTTACCTGGGCAAAGAGCTTTGGAGTCAACAGGTTCCCAGGGGACTCCTCCAGTCTTCTGGCCCAGTTCTGGCATTCAGCTTTTACCGTCCCTCTTTGCCAACCATCACTGTTGAAAACTGTAGTTAGGTCAAAATACTTCATAATCAATACCAAAAATATTATATTATATATTATAGTTTAATCAAATAATAAAAAAATATATTAGTTAGAGCCTAGCCTTGTCCTCTACTTACACGTGTGAAAGGACTGGATTCAGAGCTCCCTTGGCTGATTGTAAATATTGTATTTTTTTAAACTTATTTATTGAAAAATATTACAATCTGTCTCTAGGACATTTATAATAGAGTTCACAGATCTCATTCACACTCTATGTACAATGAATAAAAAAAAATTATACAAAAAAATAATATATATACAATAAATAAGAATAAAATAATAAATAAGAATACAATAAAATATTATAATTAAGTATGACTGTTAGTTTTGTTTTTGCTTGTTTTTTTTTTCTATTTACTCATTTCTAATAATTTATTATCATTAATATTTATTAATTTATTATTTCATTTCAAGCAATATTTCTTTGTTTTTATTACAGTTTTTATCTTTGTTACATATACATTATTATCTTTTATTTATATATTTTTATGTATTTAATTTTTTTAATTTTTTTATTTATTTATTTAGAATTATAACAATCTGTCACGTGGACAATAGATTATAGTGATATAGGAACACATTCACACCATGTATACAGAAAATATAAAATTAACAAACGTAAAATAATAATCAAAAACTATGTACAATGAAAAAATAAAATAACCTAAAGATAAGTAAATTCAAAACATAAAAACACAACAAATAACACAGTCATACTTATATACAATCCGTACATATATATTACAGTAAGGCTCGAAATCGATTTTGTACCAAATATAAGCTCCTGTCATGCGAAAATACCACGAATGGGGTACCGTTGGATTCAGAATTTCACGGGGGGTTAGCGAATCGTATTTTCCACTTTTGTTTTTCTTTCTAAAATAAATAAAGTCGATACAAACATTTTGCTAGGCTTCGATAATGGAACGGTGGCAGGTATGTAGATCGATACGGGACAAGTTGGATCTTAAAGATTTTGATGCATACACTATCGGAACTATCGGATCCTGCGTTTTTAAGCCGAAAAACGTACTATTTTTGAGATAACGCAAGGCATAGGGTTCGCATCCACACAACCTTACATTAATTGTAGTAATGTCATTGAATACATGTCTCATTTCGTCGACTTGAGGTCTCTATGATCGAGAGAGGGAGAGTTTATATTATTCATTGATGGTGTTTTTGATCGGTAAGCCATATCATCGTTAATTTTTCACCAAATCTCAAGATTGAACCATCAATTTCGAAGGCTTCCTTCTCCTTCAGGCTTCAGGTCTAGTCCAATCACCCAGAAAATTCAGGCAAACAAGTTATGAAAGAAAATTAACTTTATTTGCGAATAACTGAAAAATTACACACTTTTCCCTTTATTATATAAAATAATAATGGGGTTATTCCCATGATTATATAAAAGATTACTAAATTCCCTACGAAAGGAAAAAAAAAATCATCGCAATCGGACAATTTTTAGCAAATATACAGCTTACTGAAATTTGTATACATGTTGGTTCCAAACAAAAATGAAGATTTAAATTAATTTTTGTTTGCTTTGGGAATTATATTTATCGATAAAGTAACATTTGATATCTTATTTATTTGATAAAATGCATATTCTTATTTTCCTATTAATTTGGCATTTGATAACTATATGCTGTGCGAATTTTTCGCACGGGCCTACTAGTATATACAATGAGGCAAGGAACCCCAAGCCAGGCTTCTCCCTCCAACTACAGAAGGAAAAGCAGGACTCCAAGAGATCCCTGGGCTACACCTCAACCGCGTCACTGGTGCTAAAGCCAGTGGAGTTTGAGCGAGAGCTCTTTAGCCACATACACTCATATCTTGAGTGGAGGATGTGGCCATTGCCAGAACTCCAAGATATATACTATAAAAGATCTCTGGGCCACTGCCGCTTCAACCTTCGAGGAGGATTGTAGAGATGAGTGGTGATTGTGCTAGGGGATTCGGATAATTTATAAGGATCTGATGGAATTTGGAAAAATTTTCATTTTTTAAAAATTTTATTTTATTCTATTGTGAATATGGTATGAATTCGCCTTACAGCTTTAATACTCAGTACACTTAAGTTCAGTAAAATGTATTATACCTTAGTAAAAAGATTAATAAAAAAGAAATTATTCAGCTACCAAGTAAAGAAATCTGTTTTGGGCAACAGATTGTTTTTATCTGAACAAATGAAACCAATTATAATATTTATATAGCTTAAGTTCATATTTCTTGATATGAGATCCGTTATAATTCTGTGTAATTGTTTAACGCAACGAAAAATAAATCGTAAATGAAATGATTTAGACATACCACAAAATATATCACTAGCCTTGGGAAACGACAGCAATAGATCTGACAAAATAATAACATTTCTGACAGGGGTAAATTTAATGAAAGAGTTATAATATTAATTTCTGTTTAGCAACTAAACATCAACCAACGAACTAAACAACCAAGCAACAAAACGAAAACATTTAAGGAACCCTTATACGGTCAATACTACAGAATATATATGAATTTCATCAGTATATTGACCTTGTAAGAAATAAATTGCATCAATTTTATTGGTATCGATCAAGCTGGTTGATATCAATTTTTTTTTATTGAAGCTCTTCCAACATTATAGACGGAGTGCCAATATTAATGCTCGTGTAAGCGCTAATGTGTTGCAATATGTGATAACATTGAACTACTTATAACTATTTTATTTTTTAAATTTAATGTTTCACGAAATTTAATAATTACAAATCTGTTTCTTAAATTTTAAACCATTATAAAACAAGAAAAGCGCCAATTTGAAGCTGGAAGCGTTTTAATGTTTAGAATACAAAATACTCTTTAAAGATTACTGAAATATTAAGATCACATTTTATATTAAATAAGATTCTATTACAAAAGATGAAGAAATATTCCATTGCTATACTATGGATCGACTTATAATAAGATGTAGGCGATGTTAACAATAAAATAAGAAGATTTTTCGTTATTGTTTAATCCTTAATTTTTTAATGCCATGACCAAAGCAATTAGAATAATATGAAATTCACTATTATTCATATTTTTTGAAAATGAAAGAAAGTAACAAGTTTTTTTTCCGTGAAAGCGGGGATCGTAACTGAGATAACATTTACACAATGTAATTGACACGTGTGAGGGACTTCCTTCAATATATTTCCTTCAGTTATATTACTTCAATAATATTGATCTGTTAATGGGTCCTTAAGTCTCAGTAAAAGATTCATAATTGGTAATTGGTTGACTGTCATGGATAATGAAGAGAAGGATAGTTGGGGTGGTCACTCAAAAAGGAAGGCAAAAATAAATGATAATATTTATTTTTACATATGCCGACGTTTCGACCTGAAGTTCAGGCCTTCATCAGGGCTAAGAAAATAACCAGATAACAAGGTATGAGAAACATAAGTAGTGATAGTAAAAAAAAAAAATAAAATAAAATAAAATAATAAAAAATAAAATAAAATTAAAAAATATGAAAATGTTTATAAATATAATAATAATTTAATTATAATAAAAATTTTATTTAATAAATAAAAATGTTTCTCAAACCTTGTTATCTGGTTATTTTCTTAGCCCTGATGAAGGCCTGAACTTCAGGTCGAAACGTCGGCATATGTAAAAATAAATATTATCATTTATTTTTGCCTTCCTTTTTGACTGACCACCCCAACTATTCATCTCCTCAGTAAAAAATGAATACTGCAAAAACTCATCCCTTGATTTTCGCGATTGATGCATTCCTCAAAATTACCTTATGATCATGCTAATAAGTCGCAAGTTTCTCCTTAACTGAATAAGCAGTTTTTATTTATATAGCCATCCAGTTTTCTAATTAGTGTCTTTTTTTTCTTTCTTGTTTAAGAGAATATGATAAATAAACCACATTTTTCCTAACCAAAAGGTGTATAAAAAAAAAAAAAAAAAAAAAAGCCTACACATTACTACACCATTCTTAGAATATTACCTATGTGTTACAGATATATAACATATTACGCATTCCTCTCGTATATATCTATTGAATAGAACAAGATAAAAAATGTAAATTTTCTAGAAAAAAAAACAACTGTAAATTTTGTTTTTCAATGTTTGTTTTGTTTGTTTGTGTTTTGAAACAAAAATATCTTGCGTTTTTCAAGTTTTGTTTGCAAGATATTTTGTTTTCTAATTTCATTTAATCAATAATCGACAAGTCTTTATAAATATCATATTAATCTCTATTTAATGTGTCTTTGGACAATAAACATTTTTAACCAGATTTGTTCATTTAATATATGTTCTAATGTTTCGGCTTGTGTTAGCCTCTCTCAAATAATTTAAATAAAACATCTTTAAAAACTACATAGTATACTACTCTTTGTCTATAGTTTTTATGATATTATTTCGATTAAACATTCCTAATCTTCATTTTAATTCTTTCATTATCCTTTTATTTCATTTATTTTAATCTTCGAATTTATACTTTATAACAGTTATTTTCATTATTAGTTGATTTTTTAGACAAATTTTAATTTATTCTTCCTTAATTAACTGCTAAAACTTTTTAACGTGTTGAATAAGCCTGCTCCATAAGAATATTTTTCTTAAAACGGTGTAAAACAAGAATCAACTACGCAAATCTGAGGAACAGCTTCGAATCTTGGAACTGTGAATTCGTGTTAATCGAAACTAGTAGACGAATGAATGTATTTAAAGAGGAACTGTGGAATAAAATGTTAGCTAAAGACTGACATAGGTAATAACTGATCCGTTAATAATAATAATTTAGTCAAATAGTCAAGACATCTATTTACACCCCATGAACTTTTCGTAAATAATATGCCCTTATGAAAAAGTATATTTACCAGGAGCAGAAAAACGAAATTATCGCCAAAATCTTTAGACTTTTACTTATTGAATGTTTCATAATATCGATAATATTAATAT